GTTCTTTTGCGAATAAGTGTTGAAAAATTGTCTACGTGGGCGTCAACAAACATACCTGATGCACTACAGTAACGTGGGAGCCCCAGCAACAATCTAAAAGCGTTATTATATTGTGTACGTAGGGTGTTGTATGCCCTGCCGCTACGGTGCGCTGCCCTGTTACGGCGGCCAAAACCATAGTGGAGGGCCGAAGGCTTCTGGTGGGCTGGGTCTCAGCGCAGGTTAAGCTGCTGGAGCCCAGACCTCTGAGGTGCTATCGCTGTCTCGTGGGGCACCACGTATCAGTGAGATGCGCCTCGGAGGTTGACCGCAGTGACCTTTGCTTCCGCTGCTGTCAGCCCGGACACATATCGGCGACCTGCTGCGCCACGCCGCACTGTGATGCATGTGCGGCGACCGGCAAGCCAGCCGATCACCGGGCCGGAAGCAAGGCCTGCGTGCCACCCGCCAAGGCCAAGGCCGCGGGTAGGGTAGGGGCCAAAGCCGCCACCGCCTCTGTGGCCTCCGTCGCAGCCGCAACTGCCACCGCCACCGCTGTCACGGTCGCCGCCGCCGCCGCCGCGACACCGACGCCCGCAGAGGGGCCCCCCGTGGAGGAAGCTGAAATGGAATGCCTATAACGGCCCCATTAAGCTTCCTCCAGGCGAATATCAACCACTGCGCCTGCGCTCAGGATCTGTTGCTCCAGAGCATGGTGCAGTGGTCGATTAACATCGCTGTGGTCGCTGAGCCGTATTTTGTCTGGCCTAGTGAGGACTGGGTGGCGGACCTTAACGGCTCAGTGGCCATCATCTCTTCGGCCGCCGCCGGTACCCCGACCCTTGAAGGTGTCAGGAGGGGTCAGGGGTGCGTAGCAGCACGGTTCGGGGAGTTCGTCGTTGTGGGAGTGTACTTCTCCCCGAACCGATCTCTCGCCGAGCTCCACAACTCTCTTGCAGAGCTGAGAGCAGTCGTCGTCGGAAGTTATCCCCTCCCCCGTACTTGTCCTCGGGGACTTCAATGCCAAGAACTTGGCTTGGGGTTCTCGTCGTACAGATGTGCGGGGTAGGATGGTGGAAGACTGGGCTCTGGAGACAGGCCTGGTCGTCCTAAATCGGGGTTCTGTCCCCACGTGTGTGCGGATGCGGGGCGAGTCGGTGGTGGACATCTCGTTCGCTAGCCCCGCTCTGTCGCCGCGTGCCATTGACTGGCGTGTCATGGAGGGGGTGGAGACCTACTCCGACCATCGGTACATCCGGTTTGATGTCTCCACCCAGCCCTCGAGCGCGCCAGTCCAACAGGCCCCGAGTGGTCCGCGTTGGGCGCTAAAGCAGCTGGACCGGGAGCTCCTCCTGGAAGCCTCGATCGTGCAGGCCTGGGTGTCATCACCGGACAGGCCTGCCGACGTCAATGATGAGGCAGGGTGGTTCCAGGAGGCCATGTCTGAGATATGTGACGTGGCAATGCCCCGCGTCCGGCCAGGAAGCGCCCGGCGTCAGGTGTATTGGTGGTCGCGTGAGCTGACGTCTCTGCGCGAGGCGTGTGTCGCCGCGCGGCACCTGTACACCAGACATCGCAGGCTCCGCATTCGTCCACCGAATGCGGCAGCCATTGAGGCGGAGCTGTACCAGGGATACAGAGCGGCGAAGAACGCCCTCCGGGAGGCTGTCCTGCGGGCCCGGGATCGGGCCCGTGAGGAGATGCTGGAGACTCTCAACAGAGATCCGTGGGGGCGCCCTTACAAGATGGTGCGGGATAAACTCCGCACCTGGGCCCCCCCCGCTGACGCAAAGTCTCCGGCCCCAGCTCGTGGAGGACGTGGTGAGCGCTCTGTTCCCTGCGCGAGGGGAACATCCGCTCCCGCCTATGGCTCCGCCACCTGCGGTGCCGGACCACCAGGACGACGACGACGACATCCCGGAAGGGACCGGGGTAGACCTGAGAGTTGCGGTACGTAGGCTCAAGGCCAGGAATACCGCCCCAGGACCCGATGGCTTGCCTGGCAAAGCCTGGGTCCTGGCCTCGGAAGCTCTCGGGCCCCGACTGGAGGGGCTCCTAAGCGCATGCTTGGAGAGAGGCCAATTCCCGCTTCGTTGGAAGACGGGGAAGCTGGTCCTCATTCGGAAGCCAGGGCGCCCTGCGGACTCTCCGTCCGCATACCGGCCCGTGGTGCTGCTCGACGAGGTGGGCAAGCTCTTTGAAAGAGTCATTGCAAACCGCCTCGCCGAGCACCTTGCGGGGACGGGGCCGGATCTTGCGGAACACCAGTTTGGTTTCCGCAAGAGGCGCTCTACGGTGGACGCCATCATGCGCGTGAGAGCCCTCACGACGGGGGATGCAGTGGCCAGAGGGGGGGTTGTCTTGGCGGTGTCTCTCGACATCGCCAACGCCTTCAACTCCATGCCCTGGAGCTGCATTAGGGAGGCACTCCGGTATCACCGGGTGCCGACCTATCTCCGTCGTATAGTCGGGGACTACCTGACGGACAGGGCCGTCATCTACCCCGGTCGCAACGGTGAGTGGAACCGGCGAGAGATGTCGTGCGGTGTCTCACAGGGTTCGGTTCTGGGGCCACCTCTGTGGAACATCGGTTACGACTGGGTGCTGCGCGCCGACCTCCCTACCGGCGTCAGCGTAGTTTGCTACGCTGACGACACGCTGGTACTGGCACAAGGGGGGGTCGTACGAGGCGGCGGCGGAAAATATGACACGCGGGGTTGCGATAGTCGTTGAGAGGATTCGGCAACTGGGTCTCGAGGTGGCTCTGCACAAGTCCGAGGCCATGCACTTCCATGGTCCTCGGAACAGGCCACCACCGGGATCCTCAGTGATGGTAGGAGGGGTATCCATCGACGTCGAGTCGACGCTGAAGTACCTAGGACTCGTCCTCGACGGCCGATGGAACTTCGTTGAGCACTTCCGACGTTTGGCTCCCAAACTGGAACGGACCGGGGCTGCCTTCAGGCGGCTCCTGCCGAACCTGGGAGGGCCAAACGCCTCCTGCCGGAGGCTCTACGCGGGGATCGTGCGGTCCATGGCCCTTTACGGGGCCCCGGTGTGGGCGCGTGGTTTGGCGCGGCTTGCCGTCCACCACCTGAACGCGCCCCAAAGGGTGATAGCCGTGAAAATGGTTCGCGGCTACCGCACGATCTCCCGCGAGGCGGCGAGCCTCCTTGCCGGATTGCCGCCATGGGATCTGGAGGCGATAGTCCTCGCGCGCCTGCACGAATGGCGTGCGGAGGCACTATGCCTTGGGGAAACCCGCTGCCGCGGCAAGTTGTCGCGCAGCGGACAGACTTCCGGCACGATCTCATGGTGACATGGAGACAGCGACTGTCGCAACCCCGTGCTGGGCACGCCACTATAGCGGCGATAAGACCCCTCTTTGAGGAGTGGCTTGAGAGACGCCACGGCATCCTCACCTTCCGCCTGACGCAGGTCCTCACCGGACACGGTGTGTTTGGGAGGTTCCTGCACCGAATCGGGCGGGAGGAAACGCCCGGGTGCTCCCACTGCGAGGATGGACCGGAGGACACGGTGGAACACACCGTGGAGGTGTGCCCTGCTTGGGCGGAGCACCGCCGGGTCCTCGTAGCGGCGATAGGCGGCGGCGACCTCTCGCGTCCGGCCCTGGTCGAAGCCATGGTCCGGAGCGAGACGGAATGGGATGCCGTCACCACCTTCTGCGAAGCAGTGATGCTAGCGAAGGAGGTGGCGGAGCGGGAGAAGGAGAGAGCAGCAGCTTTCCTCCCCGGCCGCCGCGGGAGACGCCCCGGGCGTCGGGGGCTACGTCGTGGCCCCCGGCCACCGTAGGCGCGGGCCTGTGGACGGCGAGCAATGGGTAGCTCGTCGTCCGTCCGTCTAATGACGACAGGCCGTGTCGACGGCGCGTTTTGTTCCACGCGCGCCTCAAAGAGCTGTCAGCAGCGTGAAGGGGCCCGCAAGGGCCGACGCCTGCCGGGGCTGCGGGCTGTTCGAAAGAGATACCGCGGCTCCGGAACGTAAGGGCACTGAAGGAACACGGATGGTTTTTAGTCAGTAAAAGTCTGACACTCCCTTACGCTCCACCCAGAGCGAAAGGGGTCATTAGATGATTTTCCATCCGCAAAAAAATCCAAAAAAAAAAAAAAAAGGGTGTTGTATGCCCGCCGCGTATATCTGACCCATAAGGCACACGTATAGAGGGATTGGCAATAGGACTGTGTACGTAAATATGCAAATATGTAATGCAGTGCAATGCAAGATTAAATGCTGTTAAGGAGTACCACTCAAATACTGAGATTGTAGGATGCAAAATAAAACACTGTTAACTGTAACGCCTTGCGAATGGTACTGAATTTATTATAAAAGAAAACATAATATGTACAATGCATTAAAATGACGTCAAACACGAGCTCGCGCTCCAATTACGCTAACATATAAAAATGTACGGGTTTACTCGTACATATTGCCAAACCTAAAACAAAAGAAAGAGAATAAAATCTGTAAAGTATATAAAATACGAAAATATTATTCGTCTATTTTACATTCGAACTTGATAATCTTGTCAAACATTGTGGATGTAGTCTTATCCTGTGTACGCGGACCGCTGAGTACACGGCGCTCGATCGGCTGCGGTGGCGGGCTGCCAGGCGCGGGGGCCGCGGGAGTCGCGTCGGCTGGCCTCGCCGTGGGGATATAATATAATTTTCTTCTATACATGTAGATAACTGCCGTTACTATTACTGCGATTACTATGAAGTACAGTATATATATCATAACATAGTGGTGTATGTCTTCATTTGACATCCCTTCATCAGATTGATTCAGCAAGTCTTGTATTTGCCCCTTGATTTTCCAAAATGTACTATTGTGATTTTCAGCGACGAATGGCAGCTGATTAATCGATGTGTTAATGACAGAGTTCAATATGGACTCTTCAGCCATACTCCCGATGTCAAAACTTCCTGTATATATTTCACTCCTGTAGTCACGATGACCTTGTATAGAAAATGTGTCTCCTTTAAGAATGCAATCTTGACCTATACTGATAAGGCCGCTGCCGCGCAGACTTCTCGTCGCCAGCCCGGACGGGCATAATATGCGGATCTTGCATTCTTCGCAGCATGTGTACAGCCAGGAGTCACGAGAGTGTAATTTAATCCATCTGTCGGGGCACTCCTTTGTTTCTCTACGACAATATGATTGCTGTCGTCCGTGATCATTTTTACGTCACATATAGACTGACCCACTTTAAGTTCGTATAAGGGACTAGTAATGGGGCATAGTAGGTTGACGTCGTTGTATCTGATGCAAAGCTGTAAATCATTTTCCATCACCGACATAAAGGTATCTTTTCGTAAATTGAATGCTATGTAGTCGGTAGAAGGTATGACGTAGATAGAGTTCAAATTTCTTGTTTGCGGTATAGGTATGACTCTATTAAGTTCATAAGTGTCAGTACTCAGTAGTGGCACCTTCACTTCAATTATGACGTAATCTTCGGTTATTCTTGCCTTTACTTGTAGCATTTTGAATAATTCCTTAATATTTTGCACGTTGACGGGGACTAAAAACTCTCCTTGAACATGTCTCGATATGACGTTTAACTGTTCTTGCAATTGTGCCGGAGAAAGCAAGTGTACGTCGAGTCTACCGTGATATATGTTCGTTACAGTATTAATTAGGGTGTCCTGTATTCTTCTTAAATTTGATAAAATGACGTCAAGCGTAACAACATGCGTAGTAAAATAAAATGTGTTTATGGCTCGCTGTTTTACTTGTTGAACTTCAGTCGAAAAATTCTTTATTTGTTTTTCGATTCTTGTGAATTGCTTATTCATTATGTATTCATTTCTCTGTATTATATTATTTTCCGCTTCTATTATTGTAGTTTGATTTTTAAGTAATTTTTGCAGATAGACTTCGTTTTGATGGATTAATTTTATGTCTTTAGAGTATTTTTCAGCGAATTGGTCATCCAAAATTCCAAATAAGTAGTTGCTCAATCTTCCCACACCATTAATCAAACCTCTTCTTGCTCTGGAATGAGGTGCAAATTTTAACATATTATTGTAATGTTCTATCTCGTCCAACTCGTGTCTGAACTGAGCAAGTGTGGCAGTGCATGTACCTTCTTCATTACAGATGTTGTATAAATGGTTTAAATATCTTTCCACCTTTTGAATGTTTTTCCAGAATGTTGACATGTTGTAGTATACAATTATGATCCAATGTCTCTCTATAAGTTGCAAATCGGCTGCTCGATCAAAATATAACGCTTTAGTTGATTCTAACTGAGTTATTTTGTAAGTTTGCTGCATCGACGGCGATATAATTGCGATGATAAGTAAGAGCAAACAAATTAAATAATTAGGCTTACTTCTACTGCGTTTTGACGTATGCCCAGTAGCGCCGGGGTCACTGTCCGCGCGCAACGGTTTTTCATCTTGATCAGGGAGTACTGGCAAAGGGCACAGCTTCGTGATAGGCCGTTTCAGGACTCCGTGTTTAGTTTTCAATGTCACAGCGCGAACATACCCGTCCTTGCCGGGGTGCACATCGATGACCTTTGCTAAGGCCCAGTTAGAAGGGGGTAAATTATCTTCCTTCATCACCACTATGCTGTCCAGTTCTATATTTTTCTGAGGTATATGCCACTTGCTTCGTGTTTGTAACGTATGCAAATATTCTGCAGACCACCGCTTCCAAAATTCTTTGTATATCTTCTCAGTTAGTTGCCACCTTGTTTTTACGTTTTCAATATTTATATCCGATAATGGTTCAGACAGAATAGGACCGCCGATAAGAAAGTGGCCGGGTGAAAGGTAATCTATGTCTTCTGGGTTTTCAGTTAAAGAACATAGAGGCCTTGAATTGAGACAAGCCTCTATTTGCGTAAGCAGCGTTGAATATTCTTCGAAGGTAAGCTTCTGATGGCCGACTACGCGCTTCAGATGGTGCTTTAGACTCTTAACAGCGGCTTCCCATATGCCGCCCGCACTGCTCCACGCAGCCACGTTAAAATGCCAAGTAACTCCCAGCTGGCTAATGTTCTCGAGGATGTCAGTGTTGATTGTTTGGAGTGCTTGCTTATATTCCCTTTGAAGTACACGTGACGCACCCACGAAGTTCGTGCCGTTGTCACTGTAAACGTGTAATGGCGTGCCGCGCCGAGCGCACATGCGTTTAAATGCTGCTAAAAACGCTGACGCAGTGAGGTCCGACACGAGCTCCAGGTGAACGGCTTTTATAGTTAGGCATATAAAGACAGCTATATACCCTTTTGTGGTCTTAATGCCTCTACCCTTATTTGCTTTCACCTCAACATGTCCCGTAAAGTCCACCCCCCGTATGTGTAAAGGGGCGAGATGGTACCACTCGAGGGGTAGGCAAATCACCCATGATCTGTGTACGCTTTTGTGTATTGAGTCGAACACATGTGGTACACCGGCCTATAATCTTCTTCACTGCTCGCTGTCCACTAATAATCCAATATTTGTTTCTTATGTATGCCAAAGTCAGTTTAACTCCACCATGTAAAGTAGTGTGATGAGCTTCCAGTATAAGCAGGTCCGTCAACCGTGAGTGATAGGGAAGTACAATCGGTTGCTTGCTGGTTGTAGGTAATGTAGAATGTTGCAATCTTCCCTTCATTCTCAAAATGCCATCTTTGTCAAGAAATGGGTTTAAACTTATAATTGCGCTTTTCCGTGAAATGTTGCCGTTTCTCTTTAATTGTTCTATCTCTTGCGCAAAGTTATCTAACTGAATTGATTTAATTATTAATTTAGTAGCATATTTAATTTCATTCACAGTGATATAACTTGGATAGAAATTGCTATTGTCTCGCACGCGCTCGCGAGCGTTAGTTATGAAACGTAACACTCGACATAGCACGCGGGTCGCCTTTGTAACTGAGCTGTATTTATATAGAAGCTTACTGATAAACGGTGAATGAGTAGTCTCTGCAGCACATATCCGAGGTTTGGTCTTCAGTTCGAATTCCGGAGCTTCATATTTTTCTGGTGGATACTCTTTGTTCTCCTTGAGCCACGAGGGTCCATTCCACCATAGGGAATACGATAATAGTTGAGATGGTGAAAGTCCTCGCGTGGCACAGTCAGCTGCATTATGCTCTGATTTAGTATGCCTCCAGCAGGATGATGGTATGACCTTAATTATTTCATTCACTCTGTTCGCCACGTATGTTTTCCATCTTGCAGTATTGCCATGAATCCAGCCCAAGACAACCATTGAGTCCGTCCAGCCATGAATTTGTAATTTGTCCTGAGCTAATGACATCGAAACAATAACCTTTTGCATCAATTTAGATAACAAAACAGCTCCACATAATTCCAGCCGTGGCAATGTAATACGTTTCTTCTGTGGGGCTAGCTTTGTTTTCGCTGCTATGAGATGTATCCTGGGTTTCTTATGCTCATTATAGGTTTTGATGTAAATTACGGCCGCATAAGCCCTTTCTGAGGCATCTGCGAAGCCGTGTAGCTGTACTAAAGATTGAGTATTGCCGACCCATCTCGGAATTTTAATTTTACTTATGTTCTTTAATTCTTCCTTTAGTTTACTCCACTCGTGTTGAATATCTGGTGACAATAATTGGTCCCATTCCGTATGCTCACTCCAAAGTCGTTGAAATAGCAGTTTTGCTTTAATTGTACTCGGAGATAACCAACCGAGCGGGTCGAAAAGCTTCGATATGTTTGACAGCATGGAGCGTTTTGTGTCGGGCTTTTGCGTGTTCTCAATCTTATTGTCAAATGTAAAAATATCAGAGGATGGATGCCAACGCAACCCTAATGCCTTAGTTGATGATGATGAGCTGTCGTTGAAGTTGACAGTAGAGACATTAATTTGGTCGTTAGATAATCTTCCAGGAGTCTGGGTTCATTGCTGGACCATTTTCTCAAGTTGAAACCGCCTCCTCGTAATATATCAATTAATTGGCGTTGCGCTTGTTTTGCTTCCTCGATCTTGTTGCTACCATATATCAAATCATCAACATAGAATCTCTTCTTCAAGATCTCAGCTGCTATAGGGTAAACGTCAGCGTCATCACTTGCTAACTGCTGCATCGTTCTGAGAGCCAAGTAAGGTGCAGCTTTCATACCATATGTGACGGTGCATAATTGAAATTCTTGCATAGTGCCTTGTTCGTTCCGCCATATAATCTTCTGGAGTTGCTGGTCATCCTCTTGTACCTTGATCATACGATACATCTTTTCACAATCTGCTGTATATACGTATTTGTAAGCACGCCAACTTAATAATAATTCCAGTATATCACGTTGCAGTTTAGGGCCGCACTCCATTAAGTCATTCAAGCTAAAGCCAGTCGATGTTTTTTCCGATGCATTAAAAACAGCTCGTAATTTGGTAGTGTTAGAGTCAAATTTTAGGACGCCGTGATGTGGTAAATAACATTCTAGAGATTTAGTCTCCACTGCCGGTTTCATATGGTTCATTGCAATATACTCATTCATGAAATGGTTGTACTTTTCACATAGCTGCGGATCTTTTTCCTAGCTTTCGCTCTAATTGCTTGAACTGTGCGACTGCCTTTAGTTTTGAGTTACCTAATTGCCTTTCAAAGCCTTTCTTCATGGGTAAACGTACTTCATACACTCCACTTGATAATCTTTTAGTCGTTTTGACATAATAATCTTCACAAAATTGCTCTTCTAAAGTTAATGAGCGTTCATGTTCCGATATGTCTTCCATTTCCCAATAATTGCAAATGTCTTCGATATTATTGATAGTAAAATAACAGTTGAATGTTTTCGTCGTAGAACCAGACAATATCCAACCCATTTGTGTTTGCTGTGCTATTGGTTGGCATGGTGAACCTTTTAACAGCCCATCCATGATGATTTCAGCATAAACTTTAGCGTCTAAAAGAATATCAATAGGCTTCGATATATTGTATTCAGGATCCGCTAATTGCAAGTGTTGTATGTGTGGCCAATTTTTGTTCTCGAATGACGTCACAGGTAGGCAGTTAATAACTTTGGACATTATTAAAGCTTCTGTAGAGAATGCATAATCGGTCGATAATGATTTACAGTGCAATAATACTTTTCCTCGGCTTTTGTTTGGCGAAGTACCGATACCGGTGACAGATGCATTGAAGTTTTGACGTTTCAGCCCCAGCCTTTGAGCTGCATTTTCGGATATAAGGGACGTTTGTGATCCCTGGTCCAGAAGTGCGCGCAGTATGATGTAAGAGCCATCTGCTGCCCTTACTTGCATCTTGATAGTGGCAAGCAATATTTCTTCATCATTTCCAGCCACGTGGTTCGATTGTACATGTGGTTTCGTGCCCTGCGACTTCGAGGTCGTAGTCGTCATGTTCGCCGGACTTGCATTATTAGCCGCCTTTGTAATATAAACGTCGTGTAATAAGGTGTTATGTTTCTTGTTGCACTCCTTGCACCGTTTTTCAGAATTGCATTCATATTTATGCACGTATAAACAGTTTTCGCATATGTGTAGTTTCGAAATGGTATGTAGTTTCATTTCCGGTGGCATGACTTCGAATCTTTTACATTGAAACAATGCGTGATTTTGTTTGCATAAAGGACAAGTAGGTATAAATTTGGAGTTTACGTAAAACGATTTCTTGAATGATGCATCTCTATTCTCATAAATTGCAGGTTTTTGGTAATTACGTTGTTTAAATTTCGATACATGGTTATTTTTATTAAAATTAAATGTTTCGACTGTCTGCTCTTTCCTATTCATTGGCTCTAGGGCTATGAATTTTCAAAATGTGTACGTAAATATGCAAATATGTAATGCAGTGCAATGCAAGATTAAATGCTGTTAAGGAGTACCACTCAAATACTGAGATTGTAGGATGCAAAATAAAACACTGTTAACTGTAACGCCTTGCGAATGGTACTGAATTTATTATAAAAGAAAACATAATATGTACAATGCATTAAAATGACGTCAAACACGAGCTCGCGCTCCAATTACGCTAACATATAAAAATGTACGGGTTTACTCGTACATATTGCCAAACCTAAAACAAAAGAAAGAGAATAAAATCTGTAAAGTATATAAAATACGAAAATATTATTCGTCTATTTTACATTCGAACTTGATAATCTTGTCAAACATTGTGGATGTAGTCTTATCCTGTGTACGCGGACCGCTGAGTACACGGCGCTCGATCGGCTGCGGTGGCGGGCTGCCAGGCGCGGGGGCCGCGGGAGTCGCGTCGGCTGGCCTCGCCGTGGGGATATAATATAATTTTCTTCTATACATGTAGATAACTGCCGTTACTATTACTGCGATTACTATGAAGTACAGTATATATATCATAACATAGTGGTGTATGTCTTCATTTGACATCCCTTCATCAGATTGATTCAGCAAGTCTTGTATTTGCCCCTTGATTTTCCAAAATGTACTATTGTGATTTTCAGCGACGAATGGCAGCTGATTAATCGATGTGTTAATGACAGAGTTATTTTGTAAGTTTGCTGCATCGACGGCGATATAATTGCGATTGATTTTGAAGATTTCTTAACTCATACTCTAACTCCCATTTTTCTTCGATGTTTTCTATGTCTAAGTTCTCAGTTATTCTCGAAAATGCTCGAAAGTTAGTTCGCTGCAAACTTAATAATTCTTTAGCTTTCTCAAGGTCAACCTGGGTGGTATTATCCTTCGTCGATTCATCCTTTGATTCATACTCATACACAGTCATCATTTCCCGCGTTTTGCTGTACAAATGTTCATACACAAGAAAAATGTCCTTTGTAAAATATTCATGAGTCTTGTCTGCTACTGTCGATAATTGTTCGTTGTTGCTTTTGAATTCGAGCCAAAGATCATCCAAATCTTTGATTCTCTTCTCTATGTATTCCTTAGTTTTCCTTGACTTCGGATCTTTTTTGAAATTGGTGTTAAGCTTTTTGATCTCGTTTACGATTTCGAACTGTCTCTGCAGTAAGGCTTGCATAATGATAAATTATTAATTGAATATGTAAGCTGCAAGTAAACAGTGATGGAACTGTAACTTCCAAACGTCGGGTCCACTTAGTGCATTTGTGTCCTCAGCACAGTATGTATGCGCCTTCTCAATTCGACTGGTGAGACCCGCTTGTGGGAGGCCAGAGGAACCGATTCGCCACTGTACCAAAACACTAAACACTAAGGTAATAGTCGAAGGACCAAAATGTGTACGTAAATATGCAAATATGTAATGCAGTGCAATGCAAGATTAAATGCTGTTAAGGAGTACCACTCAAATACTGAGATTGTAGGATGCAAAATAAAACACTGTTAACTGTAACGCCTTGCGAATGGTACTGAATTTATTATAAAAGAAAACATAATATGTACAATGCATTAAAATGACGTCAAACACGAGCTCGCGCTCCAATTACGCTAACATATAAAAATGTACGGGTTTACTCGTACAAGGACTTAAATAAAATAATTTTTACCTCGGCTGTACAGCCTGAGAACCGACGGGCCAGCATATTGCAGCGGACAGCCAGCGCTTCCTTTCTCTTTCAATGTCTTTATCATCTTTTAAATCTTCGGTAACAACATGGCCTAGGTACTTAAATTCAGTTACTCGTTTAAGTGCAACACCCCCTAAAGTTACAGGTGGACCGAAATTCGGTTTCTTCGTGCCCACCTTAAACACCATGAGCTCACTCTTCGCAACATTATATTTTAGACCGTGGGCTTCTGCATAAACCTCACATATGAACAAAAGCCGTCTGAGTGCACTGACTGACGGGCTCAGAAGCACCATGTCGTCTGCGTAACTGATGTTGTTCATGCAGAGTCCATCAATAGAGCAGCCGACACGTGCACTCCCGAGTCTATCAATCAGTTCATTTATATATAAATTAAAAAGCGTAGGTGAGGTTAATACCCCTTGTCTCACACCGCATTCCAATCTGTACTCGTCCGACAGTGCACTAGACCACCTTACCTGATTAATTTGATGATCGTACCAATAGCTAAAAATACTAATGTACGAGACAGGTAGATCAGCCTTTCGCAATTTATCCCACAGAATGTCATACCTGACAAGGTCGAAAGCCCTTGAAAGATCCAGGAAGGCTGCGTACACTGGCGTATTCCTTACAGTGTAATACCCCACAGTATGTTTCAGCGACAGTATTGCACACTCAGTTGATAGATTTGGTCTAAAACCAAATTGTGCATCGTTTAACTTAATATGTACTTTTAACTGTCTCTTACATACTGTTAAGTATCTTAGCCGCAGTTGTCGCTAATGAAATGGGCAGATAGTTGCACATATCTGAAATATCTCCAGTTTTGTTTTCCAAAATCGGAACTACGACCGTTCTCATCAGCTCTTCCGGCAAATACGAGTGTCTCATACATAGGGTGAAAAAGAGCGCCAGTAGTCTAGGTAAGTCCGGACCAGCGAACTGAAATAGCTCGATGCTAAGGCAATCGTGACCAGGTGACTTTCCTCCAGTCATGCCATTTATCAAAACAGCGACGTCCCTGGCGGTGATGCGATCGGGCACATGAGTTGATGCACCAGTGTGGTGATGAACCTCAGCATCGACTTTAACATGTGACTGTAAAGAAGACTGAACCCGGAACTGACTCTTAAAAAGATTGGCTATCTTCGCCGGTTCATTTACACCCCCAACGCTCACCGGGGTACCTGCTCTAGGACTCAACTGCTTAGTATGCTTCCAAAACCCATGAAAATCTTTATTCCTCTGTTGATACGCTAGTTTATAAATATAGTATATAGTTGATCTGGTCTTGATTATTTTGACAAAACTTAAGTTTTCGTTTAAATACTCTTTTAGATTCCATAATATCATTATAAATATACCCACCACGCGGTTTCCCATGCCAAATCCAATTTAAGAATTTTTGTCGAGCATCCCGGTGAGCATCGCGCACGTGGTAGTTCCACCCTAGTATAGGTCGACCACTCCTTTTGACTATCTCCCGCTCGCGATCACTATCGTAACTGTACTTAGAGGCCTCACACAAAGTATTAACAATGGACATATATAATTTATCTATTACAGACCGATGTGCTAAAACATCACTATATGCATAGTAGTGGTATGTCGACCATCGAGATAATGTGGATGGAATTTGGATTTCTGTGGCAATGAACATGACGAAATTTTACAGTTGCACTAAAGCTGCGAGCGGTGGGCCGGCTCAGAAAGTCGTCTTTTAGATTTCATTTTCTTACATTTTCTTTTTGATTTTATGGTTCAGAGGCCAATTTAGCCTTACCGTCCAAGTGATTGCGGAACTGAACGTCACTCGATATGTTTGTGTTAAGTATTCCTGTACTAGCCAAGGTAATGAAGGCAGTGCTCTGAAATTGTGAAGATATCAAAAGTGGCAGAATAGCAGTCCTACAGCGTAGAAATAATCTGTTCTCGTTTTAAACTAGACTACTTCTACAGCATTTATTTTATACCACACATAAGGTAAAAATAAATTATGTATTCAAATTGGAGGTCAAAAATAATATCAAAAGCAAATTACATTATAAATCCTTTCGCAATCGTGATAGATTTGCCGAAACAAATTTTACTCATGGGATCTTTTTCGATTTGAAATGAGATTTCATGCTGCCTTACGTCGTAATGCTCTACTACCGTAATCTATGTATACAAATTATATGTATAAATTCCTAAAATAGATAATGTCCCTCGTGCCTCAAATAATGTTTATGAATGTAAGGATATTATGCTAGTATATATTTATAAGTTTTTCTAAGATAATATTCAGTTTGGTTCATGTAATGGCATCTATTCTTCTTTATCATGTAGAAAGGATTCACTTAAATCGCCAATACGTCTGGCAGACATATTGACGATCGTGTTATTTTACTTATGCACAAAGCAGCATGTGCAAGTTTGCACATTTGAAGCTGCTTCCCGACGTCGGTCTCGGAATGGGTATTTAACATCTGGCATATAAGAGATGGTATCTCTCTTTCTAACTATTCATCTCTTTGTGGCCTGTTCACGTAGTCTCCTACTACCTACTTGATGGAATATAGTGGTAGATTCTCCTCAGCCACCACCACACGGCGAAAAAATTTAAAAAAGTCTTGGAGGAAAAACGATTGATTTTAATTTTAAACCAGCATGAAATTTACACTAATAAATAGATTTATCTACTTTTATTTTTAGATACTGCATCTAATAGGTATTATTACAGCTCATCACGTTTTCTGGTGAACATAAGCCTTCCCAAAACCCACCAAAAAACAAGGTCTTTGTTTAGCAATGCAAGACAACATCTCTTTAAATTACTCATAGTTTCTTAAAATAAATGTCAATTTTATATTAATTTTATAAGATGCTAATTTCTGAAAGAGTAATACGATTAAAGGATTAATGTTATTTAGTAATTTACATAATGTTTACTTAATTTAAATATGTGTAGTTTGATAAGAGATACGATAATAAGTTAGACAAGGACAGTTAAGGGCTAGAGTGAAACAGTGTATATATTAGACAAGGATAGAGATAGATATTAGAAAG